GCATGCGCCACTTGGGCTGGCAATGTCCGATTTCCTGTAACAGAACGTAGTGATGACATCATTGTCTGCCATGGAACATATTCATTATTGGGCTCATATATTCTGGTGTCCCTCCAGTTGTTCAACCATTCAATCCTCTTGGTTCCCATCACAAATATGGCTGCTGCCTGACCATCTCCAATAGGGTAACCAGAGCGCTTTGGCGCAGCATGCGACGATAATGCGTCCGCTGCATTATTCACGCTCTGGATACCCGCTAGAAATCTGTCAATATAGTCATTAGCAGTGGTCATGAATCTGATCATTAAAAAACTTTCGAGAGCTGTAGCATATAGTGCTGTAGCAGTTTCCTGAAGGGTGCAAGCTACCGCATCAAACAGCTCTTTTGCTGTCATATGATCATAGTTCTGAGGGCATGTTGATGATGAAAGCCTACTAGTAATCACGTTCTTAGCCTCGTTCTCCCCCAGTAACCATTGCTCGAGTTTAATTTCATGCTCGGTAGACAGGTTAGGGAGATCTTCGGGGCTCGTATTACTAGAGCTAGCGTCGACAGGGGCGTGCACTGGTTGTAGTCCAGGCATGTTGTGGAATACGTGTCCCAAAACATTGCGTCGTGCAAGCTTTGCCTGGAGACTTATCTTCCACTTTGTAAATGAAACTCCAAGCTGGAGGATGATCTTGTTGTCGTCTTTTGCCATAGTTGTTTGATACTTGTACGTGTTAGCGTGATTTTGGCGCAGCGGAATCGCCCGGGCTCATAACCTATTGTGGTTATGAGCTTAGGTTAGTGTCACTATGCATGCTGACCTTGTAAGAGCATGTAGATTGATGAGTACAGGTTGTGGTTGAAGGTGTATCTGAGGTTCACTGTATTTCAAATTGTACTCTGCTAATTGTGTGCCGAGCACTCGCTACTTATACTCATATGCGGCCGCTAGTCGGCTCCTGACCATATGAGCTTCCTCCTGCAGATATCCCAAACAATACAGGAACTACACAAAAAGCGTAAACATCTAATCACTTTATGTACATGCATGTATCCTAGCTGTATAACATGCCCATCACAACAATATGCCGCTTTTGACAGATACTCAGCTGAACCTCAAGCAACATGTACAGGAAAGTACTGGAGAAACTAACCGTCTAGTCCACTTCTTACGAAATTTAAACAGCGTTCAACGCGGTGCAGCTCCTGGACCTCTACTTCGTGCGGTACATGCATGCGTTCTGAGTACGGTTATATATGGGGCAGAAGCGCGGTGGCCTGGTATCACTCGAATAACCTCGCTACGAGATAAAGCAGTCGGCACTGGCGTAGGATGGCACATATCTCTGCTAGACAAAACGATAAATAAAGCTATCCGGGTAGCACTTCCAGCGTGGCGTACCACTCCCAATGGCGCTCTCTATCGTGAAGCGGGAGTACCCCCGGCATCCATCATCCTCCAGCAAAAGACGCTGCGATCGGCAGCCCGCATGCGAAGAATGGATGTGTGACATCCTCTAGCCCTGCAGGCAGCTAAGGGCCCGAAAGATACTATCAGACGCTTAGGTCTTCGGTCTAGACAAAGAGATCGCCTATTCAGACAGCCAGAACCATATATGACATGCCTGCAAATGAGCGTGCTTCAAGTTTCGATAGCCGGAGGCCCTGGAAAGCTCTACTTTTCACACGGCTCCCCAGCACCGACACCATGCAGTCGAGAAAAAGAAGCTAGGTCTGGAAGCATAAAGCGATGGTTAGCTTCCCTGCCAGCCGAGACAATCTGTGCCTTCTCTGATGGATCTTTGTCGAGCCCTGGAAAATCAGCCTGGAGATATGTAGTACACCAAAGAGGCAAGCTAGTTGGGAGTGGTTCCGGTCCACTTCACGGAGCTGAGATATTCGACGCGGAGATTGTAGGCGCCACGAAAGCCTTGGAGGCTGCACTAACAGTGGTACAAGACCTACCGATTCGTAATCTTCTGGAAAATCAAGCGGCCGCTCGGGCACTCGAAAGAGGAAGATCTAATTCCTCGTAGGTTGTGGTGGAGAAGTTTTCACTACTGAGACAAAACAAGCGTGTGGAAATACGCTGGATACCTGGTCATATTGGGATCAAGGGCAATGAAGAGGCCGATGAGCTGGCCAAGTCGGCCTTGAGATCTCTGAACAACTGGTCACTAACCACAGCTTTGCTCAGTGGAGAATCTCAAAATCTAACCTTTGCGGCACTAGGGAGACTAGTAAAAATGCGGGGTCAAGAACTCGTGGAACAATGGTGGCAGAAGTTTTGGCCGGAACGATACAAAGATCTAGACCTCTTCATGCGCTGCTAACAGCCACCGAAACTGGCTCAACCAAGATGGGCGTACCACCGTCTAATTGCGGCAAGGACTGGCCAAGGGGACTATGCCGACTACCATCGACGTTTCAACACCGAACATGAAGATCTGAAATGCTTTTGCGGTCGAGAGAAAAGGCCCTGGCATTTATCAGAGTGCCGACCTGCTTTGCAACGTTGGAGAAGCTGTGAGAAATTGGCCCCGCCTGGAGCCAAGGAGATGATTGGGGAGAAGGGATGGCAGAAGTTTTTCCAATTCCTAACTACAAGCAGATGTTACAATCTGTCGAGGAATGAACAGAGTGGGAGGTGACCACGCTGAGACGGATTCCAGCTCGGGAGAAAATGTGCTTGGAAGATAGGGATGCAGCGCAGGGCACTGTAACTCAGGCATTTATTGTTCCTTTTTATTTCTTTTGTCGCTTCTGGCTCTCATGCCGGTCATGTAGGTAAAAGTAAGCTCTCAGAGCCCATCTACCCGTGTCACTTCTAAATAGATGTTAAGTTGGTCCTGTTACGTTCAATATTTCAAATTCAAATTCAAACAAAAAGATTTTTGCATATCTCGATCAATTCGTTCTGCACCCAGATTCCAACTCCACATCGCATTCATTTGTCCAAGCCTCTAACATGAACAGTCCTATACACTCGAAATGTACGGAATTGGCCAAGTGCATCCTGTTGTGCACACTGGACAATCAAAAGGCGGCAAAAGTGCTCCTACACTCGGACTTTTTATTTTTTAGTGCAATGTACAAGATAAAAATCTATCAGAAGAGAAGAGCCATCTGTCACTTAGACCAGTTGTTTATCAAGCTCCGGCCAGGGATTTGAAGGTTGGAGTGCCAGCTAGTCTTGTCGCTGTATTGTTTCGAAAAAGCACGTATCGTGGAGCCATTTAAACAAAAAATATCGCCTCTTCATTAAAGCTTAGAATCCAGGAAATAGCACGGAAATTATTTCCTTGTGTTACTAAAGCTCCGTGCCCATGTATATTAGGTTAGCAAAGACGAATTCTTCACCTTCCTGTGGTGCAGGTTTCATCGCTCAGTTTTTTCTACATTTCTGGGATAGCTAAGAAAAATCGCATCTGAATCGAAGCCCCAAGTAGACACAAGCAAATCTAAAATCAATGACTTTTCATCAGTGACAGAACTATTTTTCTCACCCAAATCCTTCAACTTACTAATACTAAAAATCAATTCGCCTCGAATACTGATCAAGGGGATGCTCTAATTGCAAACAGGAGCGTGTTTCATTGACTACCGGCCATATTTCACAATAAAATCAAGTTACTTTGTATATCCACGAGGAGGAAATTAAGTCATAAAATACGAAGCTCGGGCATTAGCTCATAAGAGAATTTGGCTCAATTGGGTTTATAAAACCTATGGGAAGACAGGCGGCCGTGACATGGAACTAGAAAGTGAAAAGATTCAGAAATGGGAATACTGGTACTCTGACTTTTCGAGGTATTTTCCACCTTCGGCTGTTAATGTTTGCGAAGGTCAAGGTTTCGGCTTTTTAGCCAGGACCTCTATTGTCGATGAGCCTGGGGCGCTCCCCAGTTCCCCAGAATGCACAAAAGGTTTGGTAAAGCTACTTAACAGCAATCACAGTCTGTATAGACTTTTCTGAAAATTTAGCTCGACTTCCAGGAATGAGTTGGAAGGAGGCTTTAAAGGTAGACAGTAAATTGTCTTAGGTTCACACAAGTCCACAGCGCCCAGTTGACTAGTCTTTCCGAACAATTCGAAAGGAAAGCTACTCATTTGAAACTGGTCCTGATATCGGCATTGAGATAGCTACGCACCCAACGGTTTCTGCAATTTTGGCTGGCTGCCGTACACTCGTGAATAGCCTTCGTTTGAATTGCCGGAGAGGGGAGACAATGCAGGGCAAAGGGCTCTTCTACGTGTATGATAGAAATAGAACTTAGGTTGATGGAATATTTGAGGGAGGCTGTGTATGAGGCATAGGAGGGCATACAGTGCGGACTCGTAGTAACGATGTGATTCCGTGCCGCTATATTATATCGTTATAGTTTAGTTAATTTATTTTTACGTGTACCGGGCACTAGTTACATCTAAAGCCCCATCCCTGAGGGGGCATGGTGACTGCTATGTAATGCAAGATGTGATGGGCAGTGGCAGAGGCAGAGGCCATGAAAATACATTTAGAAACTGCGAGCGCTATGCAGCGGATTCCTCACAAGAATAGCTCACATGTTAGGAGGTCGGCAGATTTCTGACAGGAACCTAACTTTCTCCAATATGGTGGCGAAACGCTTAGCTCCTGTGAAGGTGCTTAGGAGAAAATCGAGTGAGCTCATACTTCGTCGATGGCCAGCCTAAGCTACCCTTTCTCGCACAAGAGGGCAAAAAACTAAATGAGTGATTGACTTGTTAGCCCCGCAGGAACAAGTCAGAAGGGCATCATGATGATAAAACCTTTCGTGATAAGCACAAAAGTCACCGTGTCCAGCGTAGCATTGGATGAAATACCCGAGATATCGGGAATGGAGTTGTATTCCTCCAGAGGCTTCTTGGGAATATCGTTATGACGATTTAGTGAAGAATTTGGTCACGTGATAATGCGCACAAACATATTTACTTAGTCCACTTTATGAATTCTTCACGCTTCCCCGCACATCAAACGTGATATCGTTCTACCTCATATATTCTTTAAACCAGCTTTACAACGTCCCTTGACTTCTATTAAGCTCTTTCTGCTGCTAGAGGCTTCTTTCTGTGCGCATGAGTACCGTGAGCTCCATGGAGTTGGCATCTGGCTCACGCTCCTTGGAGCTGAGCAGGCGCTTGAGGCTATTTTGTGCTTGATTAATCGTAACAGGCGGCTCAGCTGCCTCCTCATCCTCGTCCTCCTAGTTATCCTTCTGCTCTGGCATAGTATGTGCAGCAATGGTATCCATAAGCGTGATCTCCCCCACCTCAATAATTTCGTCGTCGTGTCTGTAATCTAAGTCGCCATTTAAGAATATATTTGCATGAGGTGGATCCAGACTTCTACCAGGCCTAATGAGTCGTGTGGAGAAGTGCATGACATACTGGGAATTAAACTAGGAAACAGTAATCTATTCCTTGATTATTAGGCACAGGACTAACTATAATCAGGCATAGCCAATGACAGTGGCTATGTCAGATGACAGTTATTGGATAGAACGATAAAATGGCATGGGCGACATCGCAATATAGCATATCGTTGTAAGGAATCCACACTGTGTAATAATAACACAGGTATCCTTAGTCTCTGGGCAGAGAGGATTCACAACTTCTGTATAATCTTATACTGAGTAAGGACGATACATGAAAAAATGAAATACTAACATGATTGCTGTACTGTAGAGTGTTCGAAATGATTCTGTTGTGTGAAAATATAATAGAATTTAATTCAAGTCCCTACTCAGCTTATGACTACGGAGGACTGCTAAAGACATCTAAATAACTCTGAAAATTTATATGAAAATGAATGCTGATATATTTAATATTTTCCAATAGATGATGAGGGTCATGTCCTGTTTCTGTTGTGTGAGCTAATCATGCAATTTTAGTAATTTTAAGATTGAAAGAAAGGAAGCTTTTAAAGGCATATTGCCATTGAGATTAGAGATACTGTTTAATACCAAAATTGGAAAAGAAGCAACTCTCCACTTCCTTCAAGAGACAGGATGCATGAGTGCATCCAAAGCTCACTGAAAGGGAGGAGACTAGAAGATAAGTAGAGAAAATGGGGATTAAATATTTGTAATTAGATATAAAATTATCAGATGTGTGATAGCTAGATAGCTGAATACACTGTGAATCAAAAGAAATCATGTAATTTGGCCTCTGAATCATCTGATTGGAACCAAGGAGTGAAAATTAAGGATTTTGATCCACTCTTAGTAAAAATGCATATTGCACTTATCTAATTGCTTTGTTGAGGTTGCAGAATATATCAATAATTTGTACAATTACGAAATGTCTGTTTCGAGAGATCAACATGATTTTAGGGGAGATACATAGTCCAGCTACTTGAAAGTAGCTAGTTTTTGCTATTAAGAGACGAACAATTAGACTTTTCACAAAGTACATGCCTGAAGCTTATCTGATTAGAATTGTAAATGCAGGCCTTCCTGATTGCTGAATCGAGACGATAATCTCCTGCTAAAGGGTATGGCAACTTTTTCTTTTTAAATCGAGCCGTAACATAGATCAAGCGTATTTAGGTGATATTTTAATGATAATTTACATGAATAAATAAATGTAATCTTGTGTTCCAAATCCTCGCGATTTTCGAAATGCATGTACGGCCTAGAAATTGAAGATGTTACATATAGTAATTACATTAGAGACCGAGTCTACATATACTGATTGGCCTAAAGATAGTTCGGATTCAAACGTGCACCTGTATCATCGTACCCCAAACAAAATCTCTGCATTTAAATCTTAACTCCTGCAACGCCCTTACTCGGATAAAGCGAGCCTCTACATTATACCGCAACAGCCTCCAGTTTGTTGAGGTGTGTAAGGGTCATCCTTTTTATCGATAGATCCCCAGATTGAGGGTATCATGTAGTCCTTGGTATTGCTGCAAAATAATAAGCCAAAAGCTTGAAGGTAGAAGTTCCGACTCAATGAAGGCTATTAGGCCAAGAACAAGGTCACAAGATATATTTGTTCATTGAGTAATATATTTTGGACGTAACAATTATGGAAGGGTCCCTTACTTAGTGTAGTTAAGAATGCTGGAAATCTATTAGAGATAATTTTAACATTTTTTGGGTCATACCTTTTGGCTGCTTGAGAGACAGGGATACGTTCTCGCTCTAAATCTTCACGTAGACGTGTATTCAACTCAGTGAGTCGTCGCAATTTAAGATCGGCCATCGACTGTTTGTTCTTCTTTATCTGTCCTGGGTCATCGCGGGAGGAGAATCCAGATGGCATGGTTTAGGTTGGAGCCGTAGCAAGCTCTCAATTAAGTCTGGATGTTTTGTCTTTGAGACGCACTTTAGCAAGTATACTGTGAGAAATAGTGGATATGGAGTAAAGTGTTAAGGGGTGCGCGAATATGTCAAATGGAGGGTTAGCTAAATGCCTAGATTCCTACGACGCTCGGACTAATGTAATTTCACCTCGTCTAACTAAACTGTATCACGTGCCAAATCTCAGCCCACAAACCACAAAATTTCGGCACTGACGGCATGTTCACAGGAACATAGTCACGCACGTCACTTTTCAAGACAGTTAGGCCAGGTAATCGATTCTTACAAGAATCCGCCCAAGATGCCTCCACCACACCAAAAACCAGAAAATGTGCTGAAGCGCGCCCATGAGCTTATGGGCGTCGGCCAGGCACAGGCAGCCTTGGTACTTCTCCACGAACATGTCACATCGAAGCGGATTCGGAATGTACCCATTGCGTCTCTCGAGCCTGTTATGGTACTTTTGGTCGAGCAATCTGTTGAACAAAAAAAGGGAAAGCTTGCAAAAGATGCTCTGTACCAGTACAAAAATATTAGCCAGAACACAAACGTGGGCACTATTGAGGTTAGTCAGACAATCTAGATCCCCGCTCTAGCTCATATGTAATTAATATCTTTATAGTTAGTCTTGAAGAAATTCATAGAACTTGCAGAAGAAAAGGTTAAGAATGCGCAAGCTAAGGCCGAAGAAGTTCAATCCTCGATTGAGACAACAACATCTACTGCGAGTATTGAAGATTTAGAGGCCAGTGAAACACCAGAATCGATTCTCCTCTCGACTGTATCTGGCGAACAGTCTCGCGACCGTACAGACCGAGCAATTGTAACACCTTGGCTTAAGTTTTTGTGGGAGACGTATCGAACAGTTCTAGACATCCTTAGGAATAATGCAAGGCTAGAGATTATGTATCAAAGTACCGCCATGCAAGCTTTTGAATTTTGTTTGAAATACACCAGGAAAACCGAATTCCGAAGACTGTGTGAGCTGCTACGAAATCATGTTCAGACAGCTGCGAAGTATTCCTCTGCCTCGAAGTATTCTGCTCAGATGCATGCTATCAATCTCAACGACCCCGACACTCTCCAGCGCCATCTGGAGACTCGCTTTAAGCAATTAAACGTTGCAGTTGAGCTGGAACTATGGCAGGAGGCCTTTAGAAGCGTCGAAGATATTCATACGCTACTCAACCTAAGTAAGCGCCCACCCAAAAATATCATGATGGCCAACTATTACGAGAAGCTCACCCGAATTCTTCTTGTTGCCGACAATCATTTGTTTCACGCTGCTGCCTGGTCAAGATACTACAATCTTCTTCGCCAATCAGCTTCGATGGTATCATCTGGACAAAGCAAGAAGTCTGACAATCCAGCTACGAATGAATCAGATCTTTCCAAGGCCGCTTCTTTCGTCCTGCTCTCAGCTCTAGCCATACCAGTTATAAGCACTTCTCGATCTCGTGGTGCCCTTATCGATGTCGATGAAGTCAAGAAAACTAAGAATTCCCGCTTAACCCATCTTCTCGGAATGAGCCAGGCTCCTACACGTGCTGTACTTTTCAGGGATGCAATGAGTAAGGGTCTATTAAAGCGTGTCCGACCAGAGATACGTGAACTTTATCAAATCCTTGAGGTCGAATTCCATCCCCTTTTCATTTGCCAGAAAATTTCTCCAATCTTAGTTAAAATAGGTGCAGATAGTGAAATGAAAAAGTACATCGTTCCTCTGCAACAAGTAATACTGACTAGATTATTCCAACAACTATCGCAGGTCTACGAAACAGTCGATTCAGATTTTGTTGAGAAACTTGCAAAGTTTCCAGAACCCTTCGATATATCCAAAGATACGATCGAAAAATTTATCATGAACGGCAACAAAAAGGGAGACCTTTCCATTCGAATGGATCATGCAACAGGTGTTCTCAGTTTTGACACGGATATATTTTCTTCGACGAAATCGACTTCCTTTGGATCTGGGGGATCAGCAGAAAGTGAAACATCTTCTGTTCAAAGGCTTCAAAGTACCCCATCTGAGATTGTGCGCACACAATTTACTCGTCTAGCAAAAGCTCTACATATTACTTGTCAAATTATAGATCCGTCATTCAATGAGGCTAGGATCAGAGCTCGTGATGCAGCATACGCCAGAGCTTCTAACGGCTTGGAACAAGAGCATCGTGAAATTTTGTCTCGCAAGGATGTCATACAAAAGCGCAAAGAAGAGGCATCTGAGCTCCTGGCTCGAAAAGAAAAAGAGGATGCTGAGAGAAAACGGCTCCGAGCTCGTCAGCTTCAGGAGGCTGAAGATAAGCGTCTTGCACAAGAGCAAAAAGATCGGGAAGAAAAGCGACTCCAAGCTGAATTAGACCGTGTGCGGAAAGAGGAGCTCAAAAAGCAAATAGCTGATCTTAAGATTGGCCCTAAATCATTTGATATCGATCTAGATAACCTTGATAACGTTGACAGTAATACCATTCGTGCAATGAAGCTTGCACAGTTAGAACGAGAAAAAAATGGTATAAACGAAAAGCTCCGTGTCACCGGCAAACGAATCGATCACCTGGAGCGAGCCTTTCGTAAAGAAGAAGCCAAAAAAATGCCTCTCGACTACGAGCAACAAAGACAAAGAGATATTGATGCTCACAACAAGGCCAAAGTTCAGACACTTCGAGACGCTGAAATAAAACACAAGGAAAACTTACAGCTCAAACATAGATTAAGCCGGTTAGTTCCACAGTACGAGAACTATCGAATTTCTATTATTGAGCGTAGACATGATGAATTCGAAAAGCGTCGCCGTGACGCCGAACGGGAATTGGAAAAGGCAATGTCAGCTCGCAGGAGAGAATACCGAGATCGTAAAGTTCGCGAAAAGAGGGAGCGGGCCGAGCAAGAACGTATCCTCCGTGAGGAGGAAGAGAATGCCGCCAAAGAACTAGAAGAAAAGGCTGCTAAGGAAGAAAAAAGAAAAGCAGAATTTGCAGAACTTAAAGCTATCCGAGAGAGAGAAAGGAAGGAGAGTCTAGAGATAGCTGCTCTACAGCAGCGCCGTGCGGAAGAAGCTGAACAACGGCGTGCTCAAGCCAAAGCAGCCGGCACCTCTCTTTCGAAAGAATCTGATGCGAACAAGCCAGCCCGCTGGCAGCCACGACGCGAAATGCAAGAGAGTCTCCCACCTAGGTCTGGATCAACAGCTGTTAGACCATCTTTTGCTTCAGGTCGGCTTGATGATACTGACAAAGGACGACCTCCACAACTACCTTTAGTAGGACTTAGACCTAGTGGAACAAGCTGGAGAGACAAGGACCTCACTGCAGTTTCAACAAGTCAAAATCCACCTCGAACAGTCCAACGCGAAAACTCGCCCACACGAGAGCGGCCCTCTACTATCGCTTCTAGCGAGTCGCTGAAGCCAACAGGCGGCGCTGGCAAGTTTATTCCACCACATTTACGAAAGAAACTGGCACAGTAGCTTGTAACATGGTTAGAATTGTAGAATACTGTTTCCTAGAAGCCGCAAAATAAGGCAAGAATATTACAATTACTGTTACTTTGTTATGACGTTCTGTAGTGCAGGTCACCAAGCCTCTCCGGCTACCGTTAGGCAGCGGCTGATCCCGATTATGACTGTTGTCACGTAAGTAAATTCTTGGCATTTATAGTTAGTTATTGTAATACATCATGCTTCTTACCTCAACTACATCCTTCAGGTGATCAAATAAGACTCGTAAAATGTTGGGTGATTATTAATCCTTATTCGCAAGAAAAGCTCTATATCTGAGCTTTTTTCTAAACGCTTTAAAGTTATTAGGCCTCAGTCTCAGAGCACTCTACATTGGTTCTCGCATGACAAAGGTCCAAAAATAGTGTTTTTAAGTCATGGTCCTACCTTGATCCCCCTTATCCATACACCTGATATGATCTCAAACCGATCATTGTCTTTGACTGCTTAGTCCATGCCAGTGATTTGAGCCGAAGCAAATGAACGGACGCTCATGTACTTATCAGATGATTCTTTTCACATTTCGGTCATAGACAGTAAATTTTACTCGCAAACACCACTCTGATGGCATTTTGGGATTAAATGCAATCAGCTTTCATTTATGAGAATTCACCCAAGGGGAGTGTCAACCTTATTAGTGACAACAGTAAGCCTTCGTGATCCTGTACTCTGACGCTTCGAGAAATTTGGTTCAGCTCATACCCGATACGAACGAAAGACCCCTTTTTCAAGTATGAAAGTGGTCTAAGCTACCTAGACTCGTCTTGAGTGAACAGCTAAGAAAAATTCCCACCGTATTACGCAAAAAAATTATCTTCACTATTGCCAGCAAAGCTTTAGTGCATTCAATCGCTATAAAATTAAAAACAGCTAGCGGGAATCAAATCATACTCATTTTGAAGCTTTATCAATCCTTAGCGAATTTACTCTACATTTCCTTATAATTCTCAGATTCCTACATGTGGACTGTCTCCTTGTATTTATACACCGTAATGTGGATCTACACACTAATATACGAAGAGTCTCAGGCGTGTAAGTAGAGGTCAGCTGAGGCCGGATAGTGAGTTAATAAAGAATTTTTTTACTGAAAAGATGGTAAAGGGTTTAAATATAGACTTGATATCTTGTTTAGTTTCTAGCGTTGCTCGGTGAGGACTGCTAAGATTGGCATAAATCTAAACTCCGATATCTAGGAAGTGTTTAAATCTATACATTCTTGTCTAAGTCTTCAAAGTTAAGGATAACACAAGACTGTTCAACGTTCATGGTATTTTTTGCATCTTTGGAATTGGAAGTTAGAGCACCAAGTCTGCTATTGGTACAGGGCTGTTGAAGCCTGCGAGGATCGCTGCAAACGGGCCTAATTCATTCCAATCTCCATAAAAGTAGAAATAAGTTTAAAAAACTGAAACAACTCCGAGATATTGAAAGGGCTCAGTCTACGAGATTCAGGGCTGTGGCCTGATACGTAAAATTATTATTAAGGGTACATATAGCAAGTATCCTCACCGACGAGAGAACAGGCAGAAAAAGAATCACACACAGAAACGCACCCTCTAATATCCACCAAAACCTTGGCAAGGCCCAAAGCAGTATTGCAATGTAGATTGGAAGCGAACATATTGACCTCGACTCTTATCTTTATAGAAGAAAGGGCCCTGGAGTGGCAAATCCAAAATGCCAGTGTGGATATCCGTGACCAAACGTGAAACGTACGGTCTTGGCTTGTCCTCAGTGGGCTAAAGGAAGAGGAGAGGTGCTGCAACGGTCAAAAGATAGGCCTTTTGAAGCTATGATGAACAGCCCGGATGACGTGAAGAGAATTATAGAGTGGGTACTTAGTAACAGTTAGCTTGAATAGTTCCGGCTTGCAGAAGAAGTTGAGATAGTAGTCAAGGATGAAGCGATCTGGAAAAAGATGAGACGGAATTGACACTGCATGAACGGTGTAAAAGCGCTTTCTGAGAGGAATCCTAGAATTTCGATAGACAAAAGATAGATAGTATCAGGGAGTTTAAACCAAATTGGTTTTCTCCTTTGAAATAATGAAGATAGTTACCTGCATGGATCCATTGGGGAGCCTGATCGAGCTTAATCTGTTGAAATTGGCGCTACTTGGCAATAAAGAGTCGCATTAACATGGAACGTAATAGGAATCTACTATTACTAACCACGTTCGTGGCGACTCATACATTGACCAGAATCCCATTTATCTAGCATAACCAAGTGAATCGTGTCCTTCACTTAGAAGTAGTAATTATTTTAAATAGCGCTCTGATACTAAGTGGATTTAATCAACAACTCTCCACTACAGTTTTCAGACTCTTCAATCTTCTAACTCGCTTCAATAGGTGAAATTAAACACAAGTCTAACAGCTTAAGCTTCTCAACGCAGCTCCCATAACAACAAAATGAAATCAAATCAAAGGGTACATATATTCTGAACAGAGGGACGAAACTCAACACTTGTCAGCGGTGTCCTATATAAACCTCCAGCTCTCATTGTAAAGTCTGCAGAGCCAAGACTGAGTAACGCCTTTTCAACTTTGACCTGAGTTGTATCCCCCTCACTCAAAGATACGCTTTCGATAACATATAAGACTACCAAGACGATGATAATGATGCTGGGAATGAGGAAAGATAATGCGGTACCAAACGCTATAACGGTAGTCAGAGAAGCCCTCGTTATAATACAATATGTGCTACCCACCTACCGGCAAACAAAAAGCCCACAAAAGTAAAGTAAAAGACCCCTCCACCTTCAAGAAAAGCAGATTTCGACTCGTTACCAACACCGTCCCTTCTTATCTACACTTTCGAACCCACTAGTCAGGAGGGCATCTGAAATAAATGAGTTACCCGATGACCCCACGTCCGTAACGACTTTTGCATGCTAGACTAGGCTCCTCTACAGCGGTCAATCTCGACTAAGACTTTTCTGACATCCTTTCACGACCTTCGGTTTGTCCTGCGGCATGAATCAGGGGAGGAGTAAGGGGGTGGCTAGGAAGGATAAGAGACGCTCTCAGATATACACAGGTCTACTGCGCCCGGCTGGCCGGCCTCATCTTGGTAGGAGAGCCCCGCACCCAGTGGTTTCTGAGACTTTTCCCTGCGGCTACATACCTGAAAATGGCCATCGTTTTTTGGCCGGAGAGGGGAGATAGTGATGGGATAAGAGCTCCTCTTAATGTATACTCGAATGAAGAGCTGTGAGGGTATTACTGCTGGAAAGAAGTCGTGAAGGAGGCATAGAAGGGATTACACTACCCGAGGTATAGATATTCCCGGCCTGTAGGCAGAAAGGACCTACACGTCGTTACATAGTCATAGATTCTATAGGACAATAAATACATGTTGTGAGCAGACTTGTGCTTGCATAAGTCTGGATCCAGTCCAAAAGCGAAAGCAAAATCTGGGTGCAGGAATGTCAGACTAGTAATGATGATCAGGGGCGTTAATAGGGTAGAACTAGATATTATAGTGCTACGATGGACTCGTAGCATGGAGAACATAAATCAATTTATTCTTGTATTCGCTTTCATCTTTCGACTATCCACGTGACATTCACACGAAGACCTCTCTAAGTTTTGCACATGTATTTATATTCAGAACTATATTATTCGTAAGTTCCTATATCTCTGGTAATATGGTTTGTTTTTCTGGCTACTAAGTTTTACAATTATTTTGTATTCCACAGACCCTAGTTTATCCATGCTTATAAATCAAGTCACATGCCTTCTGATGCTTAGTGACTGACACCTGAACAATTACTGTGCCTGTGCTCGTCCGTCTGGGGTGACGCGCACTAGGATATCTACTAGCTTCACGGTCCGGTCATGGCGACTTCGTGGACTACCACCGACGGCTTCAGCATGAAAACGCCATTCTAACCTGCTGTCACAGACTGACTGAGGTGGAGATATTATCCTGCCAACCTCTGGCTCTAAGACTATATGGCTACTGCTATGTCATGGATAGATTCATGGTATTGAGGTAGAGTCTGATCCTAGCTTCGGCTGGTATCCCTCTAGACAAGTTCTAGTCACTTCGATGGAATTCTAAGCTACTCTGGCAATTAGTTTCTAGATGTTTCGGGATGGTATTTTGTACTCTTACCAGTTCAATGGGCTTCGATCAGATTCTAGGTTATTCTCAGGAGTTCGACAGGAGTCGGGCTGGAACTAGATTACTGTAGTCTGTACCAGATAGTGTTGTAGTATAAGTAGCTGAGGTATCTTCATGTCATTAGCTCTTCAGCTTTCAGCCTTGTACTATTCCCTAGATACCCAAGAATCAAGAATTAAGAGCCAAGTCTTTATTGTTGTTATATTTTCTTTACCATCAAGAGCCCAAGATTTGGCGCCTCCAGTTCAAGTTAAGTAACCAAGTCCCAAGAGATCCTGACACCTGCACGTGCGGAGAAGAGAAGTCCCCTAACCACTTCTTCTATTGCCATTTCGGGCAATACCAAGCTCAGCTCCACAGGGCACAGAACTCTAATCCCAGCGTATCCTGGGCACTTGCTTCGGCAGAGGGAGTTGATACATTCAATAATTGGGTGCGTGTCACAGATTTTTTCGAAAGGGCACAACGAACAGTCTGATTCGAACGAAATCACGATCTGATGTAAACAATTTTCTCCTTTTATTTTTTATCTTGTTTTGTAAAATCTTTTCTTGATTCAGTACCAACGGCATAGCATGAGATTCGTTGGACGGACGACCTTCATGTACACTATGATCTTCGAGCGCAGGATGATAAGATCCTGGCTTTCATTTGCTTTGTTGAGTCTGTAGGCGCCATTACGTCGGGTAGTCTAATTTAGACTGGGCTAACCAGTACGTGAAAAGCTCATATGCTGTGCGCGGGCACGATGTTAAATATTATAAATAATTAAATCGTGCCTGTGTCGCTCACAAAGAGAATGGGCTAGAGGCTCTGCTTCTCTTCGAGACAGCAAATTGATGCGGAAAAGGAGAGGAGTAGGAGGTCTTTAGACGATAGAATTGTCCGATAGTAATATGCTATGTGGACACGCCGAGTGCTCCTTCTTGGGCCCTAACGTCGGGTCATACCTGTGAGACTACCTGGCGTGAAATATAAACAATAATAATTGTCTTTATCATTTGATTGTGTTATATCAGTCCATGACTATCTAGCAAACTGGGCTCCTCTCTGACCCAGGCCACACCTTGTACAATTATCTGATCACCTTTTGTTGCCAAAGAGATCCTTGATATACTGCCCATGGCGAATAGCCATTCAGCTCAGTATTTACCGGTGGATTCTCTGTCACCTGTTCGCAGTCTTCAGAGTGTATCAGTCTCTACTTTTTATGTTGAGCACGGGGCAACGGCTGATTCGTTAGCATAGCTTCCAAAAATATTTGCAAATTCCGAAGGCTCCATCGTAATCTAGTTCGTGACAAATAGCTCTTTGAATGTAGTGGGTTCCTGTCCGAGCGCATTGCTTCCTGTTGCATCGTGCGTGTGCGAGTTTCTGCCTTCACCATAAATGAACATACTGGTAAAAGTTCATCATTTTCTTGGCCTCGTGACCAAGCATTCCTTAGGTCAAAATATGCTTTTTCTCGTGGAAGGCATCTTTTTAATCTATGGTGTCACCTATTTGAAGAATAATTGCTGGAGATTTGTAAGAGGTAACGATGGAAAACTTGAGAATTCGCATACCCCAAACTTTTATATGCGCTTATTTTTATTCAACAGTTTAATGTTTTTATGGCTAGCTAACTATAACACACAAATAGTGCTATAATAAATGTTGGTTGATAATCTTCACTTCAGAGACACTCATACTTTTGATTTCACTGGCAAATACCACTATGAGGAATGTTACTTTTAAAGACTGTTGGCCATCGTCTATGGGTACCCGCCGGCAAAGATTAATTCTTCCCCTTCTAGTGGTGCCGGTGCAATTGCTTAGTATGCTCTGCATATCTAGGATAAGCAAGAGGAATCGTATTCGAATTGAAGTTGAAAGTCAACATAATCATATCCAAAATCGACGACTTCTCTTTAATTTCTACCTTATTATCTTCACGCGAGTTCTTCATCTAGTTATTACTATTCACCATTTTGCCTAGACAACTGATGAAGGAACTGCCCTAATTATTGAGGGGAGGCTTGCTTCATCTACCACTACAAAATTACGACACTATACATCCCCGCAAGGATGAATTAAGTGATCATGTACAGAGCTCAGCGTCTGGCTTGTGAGGGACTGTCGCCCTAATGGAACTCCTCAATTTGTTAAAGGTAGATGGGAGGTGGGACGAGAGAGAAGAGGCTGCTAATGGATAAGCTGGGACCTACATTCTCGAGGTGTTTTCAACTTTGTACTGCTTGTGGGCACCGAGGCTGTGATTTCGGTTGATGCTACCGATACTTTCAATGTAGCACACACCACTCTCACTCCGGTGAACGGAGACATGAGGAAACGACTTCGGTCAGTACGACAGCGTATGGCGCAAGTCAAGGTGCTGCCGTAGTAATTAATGTCTTGGTGGAAAACATGGGGGGGCTCAGACGAGATGCAGGGCACTGGAACTGGAACTGGGAATTTTGTTTTTTCCATTTATTCCCTCGCTCTTTTGATTGGTCAGCTTAGTAGTATTGAGACTTTCGGGATCCACTGGCCGTGTCAGGCCAAATTAGCTGCAGGGCTTGTGCTTGGCACGTTAAAATTACAATCAATCATTCGGTCAGGGAGTGCCAACCACAATAAAAGCCAAACTCCTCGCCATCCATTCACCCCAGCATCGCAGGTAATGCAATTTCATGCTGCTGGATTTGGAGCAGCCATCTTCTGTGTCCAGTGGGATGTGTACCTAAGCTACTTAGTCTTTCATTGGCAGCTGGTGTGGATGATCTACTACTGCACCATCCAACCACGATGGTAATCATACCTGCCCTCTCGCAAACGAATAAATGGCGCGTACACTGCTCAATTTGACAACCCTTTCCCAAAACTTAAAGTCAACCCCTATTAAGATTGTATTCATACTTAGAATCATCGAGTCTAACTGTCCTGTTATAGCTCACGCTCATCCTGAAAATCTGTCTCCCATTCCTGTGCGCCACGATTTGCATCTTCCTGCGGATGTAAACATTCTCGTGGGCATGTAAGTGGAGGCAATGAGAGGCCGGAGAATGAGTCACTGAGAGGTATAATTGTAGAGACGACGATGTACTTGAAGACTTGATAAGGCTTGGGTGAGAGATTGATTTGGTGGATACTCTTGAATCATTATCTTGCCGGCCAACTTCTTTGGCATTGAAAATTTGACGAAACTTGGCTCTGGGAGAATATATCAGTCCGGGGTTTGTAGAGGATAGCTCGGATAGGTGCTCAGTCTTTGTGCTTACTCTTTTTTTTTGAGTCATATTGCATTTAGCTAGACATCCATGGCAATTAATTTCTAATTTACAATATTATGCTTACTCGGAACATAGCGCTAGTGAATTTTATATTCGAAAAGCCAGTATTCACGTATCAGATATCATTCTATCCCTACACCCTAACCTCCGCCTAGGAGAAAAGTTGGGATCCCACCAGCATATGTGCTGCTCGAGGAACGATTTCAAACGACTGCGGCCCGTATCACTCACTCTCCATACGAATAATGGAAGCTCTAAGAGGTGTGCGTCGCCATTTTGGACTACGAAGCTATCTCAAAATCTGGCTGAAAGTTGGCCATAGACAAGACTCCAGGGCTTAAAATAAGATTAGACTGCTGCTAGGAATGAAATCGCCGCTACCTCTACCCTATCTTGCTCCGGCCTACACTTTGTTGTGCTGGATAAACTAGACGGGTGCTATCATAGCTACCAAACAATGGCCAAGTACCCTATCATGAGATCATCTAGACCCTTAGAACGATGGTTCTGGAGCTTCAACCGATAGAGTATCCAGGACCCTTATGATATCTACTGTTGGTATGAGCATGAGAATTAAATACAGCAGCTATAGCAAGATCATTGAAAACCTCGGTCTTCGATGCGGATGCCCATCGAGATGTGGCAGCCGTCTAGGCGTTACAACCAACTTCATAATCTTCGTAATGCCATTAACTTCCTTTTTAACAATTCAGCGCCGGTACAGCAACTGCAGTCAGAAATCATAATATGATCATGTTAGTGGATTCTAAGGTCACGGAAAATGGCAAACGAAGTAGCTTCGCCCGCAAGAGCCTGCTTGATTCCTGGCCACACGGGTTGATGGGTGGCACACCGCTCAGCCGAAGATATATGCCAGTGTTGACCTACAAACGCGGCGTAAAAGAACACTCGAACTGGCACTACAGTCAAAGAAGCGTGGATTCTTTGCAGTCCGGACTGGGTACCAAGACTTCGCCGCATACCGCCGACCTTTACATCATGCAACGCCCACACTCTATTGTGCGTGCTTCATTTAAACACCAGTTTTTGGCGTTTGCAAGTAAAGAGAGAAATTAAAAATTTTGAGGCTGGATAGTCAAACGTGGAGGGCGCCGGCGTTAGCGTTGGAAACACTGCTAGGCTCTGGCAACTAGCAGATATTCAGAGATTGTGTCTAGAGGAGCGGGATTTACACAGCTGAATGTGTATAAATGGGAAAGGTAGTTACAACTAGAAAGACAAACAAATTAACCAAGAGCACAGGTTAAATACCGAGCCTCGGACGCGTAGTTGCCGAAATAAAATGCTGCAAATAGGAAACTCTAGTAAAGTGGAGTTGTGTGGCAAAGCTTTTTCTTGTTTTAATTTGGGCTGCTGAAGTCGTCATTCTACAGACGCATTCCAGCGTAGAGCCGGTAATTTAGGTAGGGCAAGGCGTAATTTGTGCTTTTCTGTTAGTTAACCTGTCCCAAATAGCTCTCACTATTGCTAAGGCTGCAGTAGAAGAGCATGGATGTCAGGTATTGGGAAAGTTAGAAAACAGACATCAATGCATGTATTTGTAAACTCGACTCGAAAGGTAAGCTTGAAGTTTTTGGCGAAACTAGTGATGTGTACGGGTTTACTAGAGGTATGTGTACTCTACAGAATGATTTATCCTTGTGTTTTTGATCATACTTATTCACCGAAGGCTTTAATTACAGAAAGTTCCCGATCTTGCTCAGTGCGCAAATATCTGGTCAATTGATGAAACAAATGAAATATTTATTTCTCGTAATAATGATCTTTTGGTCATGCACCACTAGCTTTCATCTACGTGCTAGCCTCCCCGAGGCAACGAAAAGGAAAATAATGCCCATAAGTCCCAACTAGGCTGATGTACGACCCTATTACGTACAGACACTAGCTGAAAAATACTGAGAGTTATCAAAAGGCGAAATAAAGCAAGGGTATTGGAAGAATGGTCAAGAAAAACCTATTTACAAAAGTTTCAGGGACTAAAGCCATACACAGGTGGTCGTAATCATAAGATGTAGTAATGGAACACATCAGAACATTTTTGAATGTATTGATATCAAAAGGTCGTACGAAGATAATGGTGAGTGCATGCATTTGTGTGAGTGTGGCAGATATACCATTAGTATAACTTATTCATGAATAAAGGTTGCAAAGAAGTTGAAGTGTCAGGGCTAATGATGGTTTTAGGCCGACAGAATGTAATGATTCTGTACAGCTACTTTACCAGCCATAAGCAATCCAAGTTCACGCATGCGTTCAGCACCATGTCCCGGCTGGGTCTTGTGATCAGGATAGCCTCTTGACTTTCGATGAGTCTGTTTTGGATAAAACTTTTCCTTACGTCTCTGTCTCTTTTGTTCAAGGCCCTTGACGATATCAATTGCCCTCCGAAAGTGATCACCTCTCCTGATATCACAACTTTTTGTTTCTGCGAATCGAGAACCATCATACTCGTTTCCAAAGATATTAGGTGTACGAGGTAGGGATTTGGTGAATGTCGCTTTGGGCCCAGCGGCGAAGGCATCTAGGAGGTCAGACCGATTGTTCGATGCCGTCTTTTTATGTATGGGTAGTTGTCGAGCGTGGTTCATAGATTGTTTTCGCTTTGGTGAGTTTCCAAAAAGCTTACGTGGAGGTGGAGATCGGAGACGCTGTTTCGAAGGGGAAGGAGACCGAAGTCTTCGTGCTGGTGGAGGTGAATAAAGTTTACGAGGTGAATGGCGTACAGGCGATACCTGACTTTGTGGGGAAGAGGTACGTCCTATCCGTTCATCAACCAATGCTTCAAACTTTACATCGTTAAACCGTGCCTGATTTCCATTAGAAATCTTCTTGGAAGCTTCGCTATGATGATCAACCTCATCTTCGCTATCAGAGGTGGGAAAACTGGGATCAATATCTTGGGGGGTTAACTTATGTCGCGCTTGTTTTCTAGCTTCCATGCAGGAAAGGTATGCCTCTTCAAGAGGCCGGTCTTCGTCAAGCGTGCCACAGACAAAGTCAGTACTATCCGGAAGATCCGGAGTAGCAGTTCGTGTAATTTTCTGGGCATGAATCTTTCGACGTGTAGAGACCCTAGATCTAAACTTTGAAGAATAATTTGAAGAGTTAGATGTAGCAAGAGATGACGAAATGGCAACATTTTTGGTTGATGAGCGATGGCCCGAATTCCAAAAAGAAAATTCTTCTTCTTTATCGCTCTCATCAGAATCAGCGAATCCAAGTTCATTATCCCTCTCGTTTCCATCATCGCCTGAATAAAAGCCACCAAAGTAACGAGTTACATCATTCTTTTCATCCTCATTGTCATCGTCATCGTCCGTGTCATCTTCATCATCTTCATCATGTTTTCCATCAGAATCATCATCACAAAGATTTTCTTCTTCTTCTTCTTCTTCTTCGTCTTCAAGCGCTTCTGCCTCGGCCTCGGATGCTAGACGACGTATTTCATTCTCTCGCTTCAAAGTATCATTTATGGTCAGCTTTGATGAAAATACTCCGACGTCTCGACGGAGCCAATCTGCCTCTTGCATGTTTTCACTAGCAAACTCATGGAATCGAGTAGCCTCAAAATTCTCGAGACATTTCTCGTCATCCATGGAATCACAAGACTGGCTTTGTCTAGATTCGAGAGTCGAAGAAAAAAGCTCAAAGTTTCCCCTAATGCTTCCAGGGGTAATTTGAAAAGGTGACATGGGTGATCCTATTCGAGGCCGTGCCGAGAATTCAGACGTAGTTTTAATAGGCGGCATATTGACGACTTGAGTAGGTTTTGGGGGCGGACCAGGGCAAGCAAACTTGAGAGTTGTTTTCCGACGGGGCGGCTCGGTCGAGTCTATAGGAAGATCTAGATTGCTTGGTTCTATTGGATTTGATAAAGGAGAATGGAGTCGAGGATTCGATCTTGGTTGAATTGTACAGGCGGCTGCTGGCCTAGCTGGGCAAGCAAAAGCAATCGATCGTTTCTGAGGAGAAACCAGATTGGATGATGTACTGGTTGTCTGATTATACTCTCTCGACGAAATATCCCTGCCTGAAGATGTATCTGGCCTCATTTCGTCATTTTCTTTTGAATGATCTAAATTTGTAGAATTAAAGTTGCAATTTCCCAGTGATGGATATGGAGGACTTAGTGTACTCGAACAGTCTGGGCTGGTTAGATCGCCATCACTCGTTAAATCGGTACTATTCATGCTATTGATTGATTGCCGTCGAGTAAGATTATTCCTCTTTATGGGCTGACCGTGTATGGCTTGGGTTAGAAGCGATAATCGCATGCGATCGCTTGGTGGTGGAATGGTTAATCGATGAAAGTCACTTTCCAAGTGAGATTTCTGAGGAGCTTCGGGTAGCTCAATGATGTTTTCTCCAACAATATCATCCTCATTAGCGATTACCGGGAGATTGTTTGCTGCTTGGGACCGCCAGAGAAAAAAGTCCTGCAGACGCATATTGTGACGATCTCCAAATATCATTTCGATGAAAGATGGAGAAGAAAATGGAAAGTGGAGATTGAAGATTGAAGATTGGGGGAGATTTTTTAGGTAGGATAGAGGGATGAAGCGCTAAAGTGGAGCAGATGGTGAATGGAAATTCTTGAGTTTGGTTGGTTTTGGCCGGTAGAGCGTTGTAATTCTGCAGCGCAGAATTTCAACTGTGGCCCTTGGGGCGTTGGGCTATAAATTGAAATCTCTCATATTTGGATGTTGCTTCCAAGGAAAGAAAGCTTATGGAGAAGTAGCTGTAGATTGAGGGGTAAACAGACGAGCGTCACTTTATGGGTTAGAGGATAAATGTGAAGATTTGGTAGAGTTTATGTTAGAGCGGAAGACGATGAACAATGTGAGAGGTGATGGGGAGAAGAAATGGCTCTGACACTTAATCGAGAGGGATGGAGGGTTGATGTTTGTTGGATTGTGGCGATAGGCGAGAATAATAATTCGAAGGAAGATTTGGGATCCCAGTTCCGTCTAGAAAGGGACGGAGGGAGACGTGAGGCGACTGGGGGCGCAAGTGGGGAAAATATTTGTGGGGGGGAACGGATTAGAGGACACGTGGTTCATGGATATGGGCGTGTGTTTATCGTATATGAATGTGTTTATATCCACAGAGGTCATAGTGATAATGACTGCCAATGTATCACTCATCCTCTACATCATACCCCTCCGCGTCAACTCGCCAACCTGAAAGTCCTTGTGGATGAACATGAGTGCCATGAAGGACAAATGACTCCTGCTTTTCTAAGACGATTCCCCAATTTCAGTCGCATTATTCATTGCTTTATGCTGGGTTTCTGTCCCTCCACGAAGTCAGGATTCATAGTCAATCTACCACCCTCCCCGATCTCACAATCACCCCATTGGAGTGGAACTGGCCCGCTCACCTCGACTCGGGCGGCAGGGATAGGAACACGCAGCTACTATTGAGCATAAAGTATTATCTCCACGATGACAATAAGCGGCTTGAATGCAGATAGAGAAGGAGCCGGCTGCCGGCATAAATCATGCTAGTGGGAATGGCCCGGACCGTTGGAATATTGACACCTTCAGCGTGGATCTTAGTGGGTTTATAGCGAAAAGCGGTGGCTAGATATGATCTGCATTACTGGATGAGAAGCTCAGACTAGACGGGTGGCGTATGAATACGCTCAGAAGTCCACTTCTTGGTCACTTGTCACCTTCATCCGCGAGTCCTTTGGACAGAAATTTAAGGCTAAGGATATTTCTCTCTGCTAGTAACCCTTAGCCCACAAATTCTGGTTACTAATCAATTGATACCAGAAAAATGGATGAAAACCCGCCACGCTCCTATACACCAACTCTTATCAGGCCAGAAAAGCGTCACTTGATCCTCAAGGAGCAAATATCCCACGCCCAGACCTCACAAGCTTACCTTCACAGCAACCAACATCGTTACACCGCCTTGGTGCTATCTGTAAATTATGGCCAGGGGTCGGAGATGAATAAAAGTGGTTGCACTCGGTGTTATGGTCGGTATTGGGACAAATATTGGATTTTTACTTACACGACTACTTTTTTCACATTGCTCAACATGGAGAAGTTTGAAGTTGTCAAGCATAGGTTTGCCAGGATATGAGTTACAGGGCGGGTCTTGAATACGGAGCCTCAAAGAGTAACTACGCAGTCGACGAAGAGCGGAATACCATCTTTCGAACTTCCTTTCCAAGTCTCTATTCTCATCCTTTTATGATTGTTGAGCTCCGGCTGATCTACCGTCTGGACGTCTATTTTAGGGTCTGATCCAGTCGCACACACGGCTGCCCAGTGACCGGTTACTACGCATATCTCTGATATTCACAGACCGTGTGACTCGTGGCAATTAGCCCTCGAGTTTTCCGGTGGTGATTCACTTCGTCGCACCCCACCATTGAGCCGTACGTCACAGCAATCAACAGCCTTCCACCCTGAATGGCGGTGACGTGCGCTAAGAGCTACGTGCTCCATCACCCTAGCAATCGGCGGTGGATGTGATCTGGGGTCAGGGTACGAGGGAATTGATGGTAGGCGGTCTCACTACAACCCATGTTGACGCCATGACACATGCACAGAGCCGTAGCCGCAACCAGGCCGGGTCTCAAGGCGAGGATGCGCGCCGCTTAGAAAATAGAATTGACGCGCCTGGCGCCTTCAAGGAGAGTATCATCGGCACCATTCAGCCGTTGCCACACACATTTCACTCCGATTGCGTCTACTCGACTAGCAATAGCCTTCTTGTGACTCGTAAGCTCATCTATCTCTGCATACTTGTGGGGCCATCAGTCTGATTTCAGTGTTAACTCTGATTCATTGCCGAGGATGCTGATTTCTCGCTACAATGGTTTCTATGTGGTCGTCATGTTGTCACTGCCATGCTCCTATCCCGCGACTGACTCGAGATGCAACTGATAGTTGGCCTACGTCAGGACGAGCCAGTGTGTGCCGGTCCTCCTACTCTATACCCCTTCACCCGCCTAAGACTAACCCGGGACCTTTGTGGTCACGGGCCGCGAGTCTAAGGTCAAGACTGAATGTAAATACAGTGCCAGTATTGATGAATTTGTAGCATCATTCACTACGCCCTCGCTTTTCCCATCGTAGGCGCCTCAACTCTACTCTACAATTCTCCAGTCGACTGTTAGAGCCGCTCATGACTCGCGTCAGTCAGGACCCATCAAATCCTTTGTGGCCTCGCGTACCTTATGCGCCCACCCCAATTCCATCTAGACTTACCCATACCAGTTTGAATACCATCTCGTCCCTTTTAATGCAAGTAGCTTTCGGGTCTTGTCTAGGTCTGTCGCGCCCTCCATTTCCTCCCCCAAAGATAGGCGAGTCACTTTTACGAGTATATATAGACACCATGCCCTTGAGCTCTCATCACCCTCTGTGCCACGTCGCCACCGCTTACTCGGTGCCATAACCATGCCTTCCTGCATATGTCGCTTATTCGTGTTAGCTTAGGTCTGCCTAATGAGCTTGAGCTTGGCCACAGTTTAGTATCCTAATTGAACTCGCTGGGCATCAGGCTGCCGCCCTCCTCCGCCGTTGTGCAGGAATCGAGCTAGGCTTGGTCAAGCTGATTACCAGGGCGAAATTCCTCGTCTCACCTTGATGTTTCGACAATGATAGCTGGTGACTTGCGTGACACCATGATAAGTGTAGTTGACTGGGAATCTATAGTTAAATTATACATCGTACCCGTCCTTTTGCCTCTGCGCAATGCTCGATTACTGGTTTTGCACCCTTGGAGAAAATATGTTAGGAGAAACGCAAATATCTTTGTTAAGATCCAGAATAAATTCCTGCAGGGAACCTGGAATGACTTATTTTATTGTTTACTGGGTCCAATACTACATTATGACATGTAGATCCTCTATACCGAGCGATCGGCTACATCTATGGCCTATTCATCGAATCTGTCTAGCGGGAACGCTCTGTCAGGCCTTCATTCGATTACATGCTTTACAGAGCTATTATCCCGTTGCTGATATTCCTACTAAGCTCACCAAGCGAAGGTCATTCGTGGCTATGAAGTTGCGGAGAAACCCTTCCAAACATTACAAATTCGGCGTTCCCTTACAACCGATATCAGAAAAAGATCCGAAGATGTAGCTACCCTCCTGAAGATTTCCAAGAGACCGTGGAGCAAGATGCTGCACATCTGCGTCTTCCCATGGGAGTCACTCGCTGTAACTTTTTTCTCCATTCAACGCCGTCGTTCATTAGTCTCTTAAGACAGGTTCAAGGCTGTGATTTGAAACTAGACGCATATTGGGCCAAAGTATACACCGTAAAAGAACTTTCGATTAGCTTTTGGAATAGTTACAGACATAACACTGTTCGGTAACCCTTGCAGTGAGGAAGCCCTCCTGACTAGCGAAATCTAAAGTCATATAAAAAAGATATAGCTGACAACGAGTCAAATTCTGCCATTATCTAGGATTAAGGATTCTTTAGCTTTTCTTTCGCAAAAATCTGGTTCGACCGTAGATTGGCAGCACGTGTTGGAACATATGTAGGGCTTCACTCTTCTT